TCCCCCATTCTCCCCACTCCCTGTCCCTGCTGATAACCCTCCATGTGATCTCCATTTCTGTGATTCTGTGATTGTGTTCTTGTTCTAATTATTTGCTTCGTTTGTTTTTGTTTCTTAGGTTCAGTTATTGATAGGTGTGAGTTTGTTGTCATTTTACTGTTCATAGTTTTGATCTTCTTTTTCTTAGATAAGTCCCTTTAATGTTTCATATAATAAGGGCTTGGTGCTGATGAACTCCTTTAACTTCGCCTTATCTGGGAAGCACTTTATTGCCCTTCCATTCTACATGACAGCTTTGCTGGATAGAGTCATCTTGGATGTAGGTCATTGCTCTTCTTGACTTTGAATACTTCTTTCCAGCCTCTTCTTGTCTGTAAAGTTTCTTTTGAGAAATCAGCTGATAGTCTTACAGGAACTGCTTTGTAGGTAACTCTCTCCTTTTCTCTTGCTTCTTTTAAGATTCTCTCCTTATCTTTAATCTTGGGTCATTTAATCATGATGTGTTTTAGTGTATTCCTCCTTGGGTACAACTTCTTTAGGACTCTGGGCTTCCTGGACTTGCATGTTTGTTTCCTTTGCCAGATTGGGGAAGTTTTCCATCATTATTTTTTCAAATAAGTTTTCAATTTCTTGCTCTTCCTGTTCTCCTTCTGGCCACCCCTATGATTTGAATGTTGGAATGTTTAAAGTTGTCCTGGAGGTTCCTAAGCCTCTCCTCATTTTTTTGAATTCTTGTTTCTTCATTCTGTTTTGGTTGAATGCTTGTTCTTCCTTCTATTCCAAATTGCTGATTTGAGTCTCAGTGTCCTTCCTTTCACTGTTGGTTCCCTGTATATTTTTCTTTATTTCATTTTGTGTGCCCTTCACTTTTTCCTTTACTTTGCATTCGTACTCAGTCATTCCTGTGAGCATCCTGATTACCAGTGTTTTGAACTCTGCATCTGATAGGTTGGCTATTTCCTCTTTGCTTAGCTCTTTTTCTGGAGTTTTGATCTGTTCTTTCATTTGGCCATATTTCTTTGTCTCGGAGCATCTGTTACATTGTAAGGGGCAGAGGCTTAGGCATTTGCCAGAGCAGGGCAACCCTCACATCTCTGTGTTCTGGTGCTGTGGCGGCAGGGGTGGGGGGCGGGGAGTCAGAGAGGGAGCAAGGTCACTTGCTTGGCTCTCACCCTGCTTTCAGTCACTTCTGCTTCCCACAGGCAAATCGGGCCCTTCTGGTGGGTGGGTTTGTGTACACTCTAGGACCCCATGGGTCCCTCCAGTGGGTTCTTCTTTGAGACTGGGAAGGCTGAGCATCTCTCCATATGTTCCAAAACTGTTTCTGTTTCCTTTTCTATGAACTTTCTGTTCAGTTTCTTTGCCCATTTTGTTTCCATTGGCTGTTGGTCTTTTTCTTAATGATTTGTAGGGATAATTGCCCTTTGTTGGTGCTATAAGTTGCAAATACTTTTTTCCGAGTTTTTGTGTGTCTTTTGAGTTTGCTTTTGGTGGTCTTTGTCATTCAGATTTTTTATGTAGTCAAATTTATAGGTTTTTATTCAAAGGCTTTTTTTGGATTATAGGTCATGATTATAAAGGAACATTTTGAGGGGGGCAAGCTCTATTACTCTGAATAGCCCTAGCAAACTTTAGCAAACTTTAAATCTGTTTTTAATACTCACCCAAGGACATAGTTATTGATTTTAGAGGGAGGGGAAGGGAGGAAAAAAGAGAAGGAGAGAAACATCAATGTGAGAGAGAAACATTAATCAGTTGCCTCTTATACACCCCAACCGGGGACCAAAATCTACAACCTAGGCATGTGCCCTGACTGGGAGTTGAACCACAACCTTTTGGTTTATGGGACATGCTCCAGCCACCTGAGCCGCTCTGGCCAGGACAGCCCTAGTAAATTTTAAAGAGGAGTAGAGCAAAGAACAGCCTCGGGACTTAAGATGAGGAAATGGTTAACTTCTTATCAGGGGAAGGGCCTCACAATATAGCCTTGTTATTTATTTTGACTGTAGATTTCGAGTATGTGCAATTGTATTGGCAGAGTTCTTATTCCAAACAACAAAATATAACTGGTTAATTTAAGCAGAAAAGGAGCGATATCAGGGAGCTCACGGAATCTAAGCAAAAGCTAGAAAATAAAGCTCGGAAGATAGATAAGACTAAGGAAACTCATAGCCAAGATCCTGCACAGGCTCAGACCTGGTGAGGGCTGCCTCTGGCAGCTCCAGCACTGCCGCTAGAACTGGGTCCTGACAGCAGAATGAATTTACTGCCCCCCCGTCATTGTGTCACTTGTCTCAGGTGTATTGTGTCTGTTGCATCAGGTTTGAAGTTCCAGGTAGAAGCATTTCTTTGGCCAGGCAATCATGAAAATTATAATCAAATGAAGCTTGAAATCCTAATTTAACCAAAGACTGGTGAGGAAATAGCTGATATGGAGTTAATTCATTTAGAGTTCTTGTTATATTTCCCTTTCTTGTAAAATTTATAACTTTATTAAAGATGATCTGCTCTGAAAAATTTTCATATTTTGCTCATTCAAAAAGTATGAGATACTTGGATGATGAGTTTTATCAGTGTCTTTAGTCATAAATGATTTAATTTCTAATACATTCTCAGATGAGGTCATTTTGGATCTGTCCATTATATTTTTAGTTTGTTGTAGGAGTGATAATGGTGCATTTAGCACTGTTTTTTTTTTAAGCCCAGTATTATTTAGCGTTTGCGGTTTCTATGGAAACAGACTTAACATTGACCTGGATTCTCTGAGCTTTTTTTCCAACAATATGCAATTATTTCATATTGAAAGAGCCTCAGAGTTTATTATTAATCCAATTTTATTCCACAGTTCTGCTACTATGCAGCATATGTGTTTCTAGTCTATACAATAAAAACCATAACATTTATGAGAGAAAAAAAAAGATTGGACACAACACTCAAAAACTTCATCAGTGTTGCATTAAAAAATAATAAGAACCTGATAAAAGTAGTAGTATAATTTTGTGCATGTTAACTGGTTAAAAAATACATAAATACTACAATAAAGGGGGCACTATACCTTTTAAAAGACCTGAAGTTTGAAGCTCGTGGGTTGTTCTGAAATAATAGTAGGAAAGTGATGATATGGAATCAGATGGAAAGTTGTCACACCAGATGTATATGGGCTCTGCTCACCACGCACATGGTGAGCTGAGGTCGTTGAAATGGTTTGAGTTGTGTTGGTCTGAATATGCTGCATATTCCTATGAGGCCCAGAGCAGCTGAATGCAGTAATCTGCATTTACCTGTTTTTCATGGACAAAACGTCAGGTTGTACTCATATTGTTCTCTCTTTTATCAGTTACATTGGAACAAATCTATATTTAAAACAAGCAGTATAGCAGAACTGACTATTCTTACTAGAACAACTCAGTAATGTGTGTTTTAAAGCTAAATGGGATTGGTGGAAAATGACTAATATTTTGACTTCATAATATTAAAATGTTTGGAAGAATGATTTTTCTTTTAAAATAAGCACTGTTTTATATTTGTACAATATGCACTTTATTGTTACCTTGAGATGCTATCTCTGTTTGAAGGGTTTAGGAGGAAGATGCCCTTCATGAAGAAAATAGAATAATACTGTACTGACCCTCTGATTGGTTGAAGGAAGTCCTTATTGGAAGTTAAAATGAGTTTCAACTATATATACATACAATGGACTATTATTCATCCATAAAAAGGAATGACATTCTGATATGTGCTCTAATATGGGTGAACATTGAAAACATCAGGCAAAGTAAAATAAGCCAGACACAAAGAACAAATATTGTATGATTCCACATATGAGATACCTAGAAAAGGCAAATACATGGAGACACAAAACAGAATAGAGATTACTAGGGTTTGGGGGGAAGGGGCAATGGCCAGTTATTGTTTAATTGGTATAGGTGTTGTTTGGGATGCTGAGGAAGTTTGGAAATAGATAGTAGTAATGGTTGTACAACATTATGTATGTAATTAATGCCACTGACTTGTGCACTTAAAAATGGGTAAGCTGATAAATTTTATGACAATAACATTCAGTTTTAATATATTTCATCTATTATATCTTTTATATTACATGGATATGCTTCTATATTATAGGCATATTCCAGTAATTATACAGAGATACTGTAAATATTTCTGAGCATTGCTCAGAACGAATACATGACTAATTTTCTCTTGTGAGTGTTAATTTGAGTGCTGAATTGAGTTTTTTTTACAATACCCAGCAATTTAAGTATTTTTCTGGAATTTCATCAATTTCTTTAAGAGGAAGTTGTATTTCTTGTCTCCTAAGGGAAAGCAGAAAAACATACATTAACCTGAATGTTCATACATTTGAAGGACAGACTAAAGTACCCTTCCTCAATGTTACAGAATCAGGAGAATGTTTTAGCTCTTGACTATAATAATGCATTTGTTGAATTAGAGAAAAATATTTTCTTAAAGTATTTGTCAAAGGAAGTAATTTGAGTAAATTGGCTTTTTCAGTAATTCCTAGTAACAAGCCCAGGCTCTTGTGGCTCAGTGGATTGAGTGCTGGCCTATTAACCAAAGGGTTGCCAGTTCAATTCCCAATCAGGGCGCATGCCTGGGTTACAGGCCAGGTCCTTGGTCAGGGAGGCATGTGAGAGGCAGCTGCACATTGATGTTTCTCTCTCTCTCTCTTTCTCCCTCCCTTCCCCTCTTAAAAAAAAAAAAGTGAATAAAATCTTTTTTAAAAAAGGTTGCGTGTTGATCCCTGATCAAGGCTGAATACAGGAGGCAACCAATTGATGTTCTTTGAAATAATAATAATTAATAATAATAATAATAATTCCTAGTAACCATAATAATTGAGTACTATTACTAAGCTCCATTGAGATAATTTTTTTTAAAGAGATAAATTCTCCAAGTGGTTTTCTTAGGTTTTTCATGTGATGAAATTTTTATATTTTTACTTTATATGTCTCCTAAAATGTTATCCAATTGTATTTTAGGTTGCAACAAGGATAGTGTTCGAGCAGGCTGTAAAAAGTGTGGCTACCGTAAGTACATTAAAAAATAACATTGTACAAGTGAATCATTCCCTCACTGGGCAGTGTGATTTAGCCTCCAGATTTCAGGGCCCTGGGCAGGAATAGTTCTTTAGCCCCGTTACTCAGCAGGTGTTTGAGATGATGAGAACTTCATCTGTGAGCCCTAAATATTCACTTTCATTCCCTGCTATAAACTAAGTGACAGGTGCTATATACCTGGTGAGTAGTAGAGATGTCATGAAGTACAAGTGGAGTAATAGATTCTAGAGTCTGGAGAAAGTATATGCCCCCAAAAGTACATACATTCTTATTCTTTTACTTCTTATTCTTCCGGATAGTAGGTGAAGAGGGAAAAGCAATGAAAACCTTTTATGAAGTATTTCCCTATTTATTGACTTTACTCTTTATAAGGTTGAAATTGGATCTAGGATTTCTGCTCGCTGACAAAATATGATTCAAAGGATTATTAATCTCCATTTTGATTAATGGAATGAAAAGTAAACATGAATATGTACAATCATATACCCAAATTTATAATTATGTACTGTAAACAAATATTTCTCTAGTTAAATGTGACAATTCCTAAGACTTTGATAACAGCTATAATAGTATTTGCTATTTTTTAAGGTGTTTGGAAACTATGCAAATGAGCCTGGATTGTTGTTAATACTCTTTATTTTGTCAGTATGTTTTAATAGTGGTTACATTGTTTTAGAAAGTTTCAAATTAAGGATGAATGTGTTACTAAATAACATAGGTCTCACTTTTTCATGGCAGAGTTTCCTAAAAAAAATTAAAAGAATGGTTATTTCTAAATGGGGTGGTTATTTTTGAAGTCGGCAACTTCTGAATATTGAAAAGCTAAAAGGACACTAAGCCTTTGTCTATGGAACACCTCTCAAGTTATTATAGTTCTCAGAAAATACGTTTAAAAGTTCAATACAGAAGACTTTAGTTGAACATTTGATCACAGAAGCAGAAATAAAACATGCCTAAATACCCTTAATGTTTTATTTAACTTAAAATACTAATCTACTGATACATAGTCATGACCTTTTCTTTGCTAATCGGTGTTACACATAGTCTTTTGAATGCAAATCATGTATGAAATGCATTTTCTGCTTTTATAGCTTGTTACTTCAAAGATAGGGAAGCAGCTAAGATACTTGTAAAGAAACCTAAGTGCAAAGTTCTATCATTAGTTCTCAACCAGGGGTGATACTGCCTTCTAGAAATCTCTGGCTGGTTTTTTTTAAGTTGTCCTTCAGGGTGGAGGGCAGTGCGACAGTTAGCGTGTAGGGTCCGGACATTGCAAATGGCTTACAGTGTGTAGGTCTTTCCTGGACAAGGAAGACTTGTCTGGCCCAAAATACCAGTGGCACCTCCTTTGAGAAACAGGAATGTTTTCTCATTGTTCTAGATTCCTCCCTCCCCACCCCCCATCTTTTACAATCTTCTTGCCAATGTCTATTTGGAAAACTGCTTTCTAAAAGCAATCCATTTACTTCAAGTCTTTCCAAAAGTACTGCTTTATTTCACAGAAATAGCCACTCATTTCCTCCCCCACCACACACTTTTTGGCCTGCGTGCTGTTACATAAGCACGTTTTGGGACAACCAATAACCGACTCTTGGTGGAGTACAGTATCGACAAGTGGAGTAAAGTATACAGGGGTGAGCTGAGGGAAAGGGACCAAGGAAGTATAAGGCCAGGAGGAGCAGGAGCCGGCAGCAGCGCAGAAGCCAAAGAAGTAAAGGTTTTTGTTTTTGTTTTTAAACTGAGGGGCATTTGTCAGGTGTGACAGATAACATTTGTAAAAAAACAGACTGAGAAGTGTTCATTGGGTTTGCCAGGTGGAATGCCTGCTGACCTTAGCAAGATTAGTATAAGTAGAGCTGTGGGTCCTAAAACAAACTGTGTAGATTCAGGCCTCAATGGTGAGAAATTTTAAAAAGTAGAGAGTCTGTGATGTCTCTGTTTTCAAGAAATTTACATGAGAAAAGTAGGCAAGTGTCTGAGACCATGGGGGCTGCTATAACAAAATACCACCAGCAGGTTAGCTTATAAACAACAGAAACTGTCTTGCTCACGGGCCAGGGACCGCAAGTCTGAGAGGAGAGCTCGCGTGGTCTGGTGAGGGCCCTCTTCCAGGTCGTGGGCTTTTTGTCTTCACCCCACATGGGGGAAGTCTCTTTTATAACACATTAATCCCATTTATGAGGGTACCGCCCAATGAGGCAGAAACTATTTTTCCAAGTGAGGAGATTAACATTAAAAATTGGTCTGGTATCACATTAAGAAACTTAAGTCCAGCTGCATGTCATTGTTAATAAAACTGCATAGACAAGTAAAAACTGCATAGAAGTTTTCATACAATGGGATGAGGAGGGAAGAACAGGTAGATATTCGGTTTAATATTATTGATATTCAGCTGTTTTACTCATAAAAATTGTAACTTCATATGATTCAACTAATAACAAAAAAAAAAACCGCACCCATAGAACAGTTTTAATATCAGACTTCTAAGGCAAGAGCAGTACTAGGGACAAAGAGAGATTCAAAAACAATAAACCAAGGAAATAAAGTAATGATCTTGAATGTGCTTAGTATAATCTCAAAATATGTGCAGCATAAACTATCACAAGGAGAAATGGACAAATCTATGATAGAGGTACTTAAAATTTCACTGTCAGAGGTTACTAGACAAAAAAAAAAAGATGGAGAATATTTGAAGAACAAAGTAAACATAGAACCTCTTCAACAAATTGCGTTATATATTCTTTTAAAATATATATATATTGAATCTCTTCCTAAATGTACTACATCATGGACCACAAAATAAATGTCAGCAAATACCAATGAACTTTTATCAGACCAACTCCATTTTCTGAGAACAGGGTAATAAATTTTGAAATCAACAGAAGTGTAGTCTGAAAAATTCCTACATTTGGAATCTCAAAAGAATACTTCCGAATGATTCATTTGGAGGAAGGTCACAACTGAAGAAACTTGTCTCCAGCAGTACGACCCTCCTGTAAACAACTAAGGGACTTGGATAAAATGTGCAGTACATATTTTAGATATATTAGCATGCTAGGAAGAAAATAAAGCGTACGCGGGGGGTAACAACCAAAGGAAAGCAGAAACTTTAAGAGGTAAGTCTTGAGGGTGTTTGTTGAACCCAGGGTTCTTGAACTTCTATTTTCATGAGATGATAGGATGTAGGGGATTAAAAACTAGGACCAGGGCCCTGCCCCATATTAGGACTCTACTAGGAGAGGCTCTTGTGTAAGTCTAGAACTTTCCCAAAGACTTCATCCTCAAATTAAGAGAGAAGTAGGAATAAACCCTACCACAGAGCTGTGGCGAGTTGTCTCTCATCTATGGGTTGTGAAATGAATTATGTGGTTACCCTCAGCATTGGTTTTTTTGAATATCAAATATAGTAATACTTCATGTAACTTTTGTTTTGATTGTTGCATCATAGTGTGTTTTTGTATATGAATGTGTACGTGAGTAGGTTTGGTTACATTGTTATTTTTGACCATCCTTAATCATAGTCAAAAAAAATTGAAATCTGCTGTTGTAGAGAAACTGTGCTATATGTTCACAAGGAGACATGAGCTGCTGTTCATTTCAGCATTATTTATAAGAACAAAAGACTGGAAGCATCCTAACATTCTATCAGTAGTAGAAAGGATAAATAAATAAATACTATTTTTATGCAAGGAAACATTATTCATCAAGTAAAATGAGATAACTTCATCTACTATTAACAGATAAATCACAAAGTGTAATATTAAGTGGCAGAAACAAGTTGCAGAGTGATAAGTAAGTATAATTGAGATTATGTTTTAAAAAAATAATAATACAATATGTCATTTGGTAAAGATAGACAGCAGCTTCCATATACCAACTACTAAAGACAAAGCATGGAATGGGATTAAGTCAGACTCCCAAAGGATGGGACAGGCTCTCCATCTCTGTGGCGTGTGCATGCGCATGCAGGCGTTTCCCTAACAAAAACTGTAGGTGAATATGACAAAATGTTAATGTGTGGGTGCTAGGCACTTGGGTATTGGTTACCTTATTTCCTGAACTTTTCTGGTATTTGTAATATCTGATTTTTTTAAGAAACGGTATTGTGCTGTAAGTAGACAACTGTGTGGTCTTCTTAGAGAAGGAAACTTTAGGGGCTGAATTATATCGAAATTAAATGTTTAGGCATTTTTTAGAAGAGCACATATAGTTATGTTATTTGGTACCTTTAATTATATAAAAGCTATGCAATTTTATGAGTATGGTAATAAATCTGAAAAGAAAAAAGGTATGTGAGAGGAATTAAAAATAAAATCCTAAATATCAAAATATTTTCTTTAGTACATAGAAAGGGAAAATACATTACATAAAAGGGGGAAATGTAGTGATTCAGTATTCAGAAAAAATGCTTATTGAATTAGAACCCTGGTGAAGAAAGGAAAAAGTTCTGAGCATTGTAGTCAGGGAAAACAAACTACCACCCACTGAACCAAAGTTAAAATTAAACATTGTATCATCACAATTGTAACTTGTTGCTTGCCATGAGGCAACAGAACAAAAAAATATACACATAATATATCTATCATTTTGTGATTCACATTTTTTTTGTTTGACTTAGCCGGTCACCTGACTTTTGAATGCCGCAATTTTCTGCGAGTAGACCCCAAAAGGGACATAGTCCTGGATGTCAGCAGCACAAGCAGTGAGGAGAGCGATGACGAGAACGAGGAACTGAACAAATTGCAGGCATTACAAGAAAAAAGTAAGCAACGCTTTTTTTCTCTTCACCCCTTAAAAATGTTTCTAAATGTTCTGCTCTATTATGTTATATTAATCTATTTTTCTATTGTATTTATCATTAACAATACCTTTTCTGTTTTATGTAAGTACTGCATAGGTGAGGGAATAGGCTTTGAACGTAATAAGTAATTTGCCCAAACTCAAACAGCTGATCAGTTACAGAACCAGGAGGAGTGTCTGTTTTTAATTCCAGAACCCAGTTGTTGTTCCATCACAGTAGGATGTGCCCCATGGGACAAAGAGTGATTTAACACTTGGTTTCTAGCCCGGTCTGGCCATTTTTTAGCATGTGGCTTCCAACAAGTCACTTAACCACTTTGAACCTCAATTTCTTTGTGGAATAGCACAAAAGACTGGGTTGTTAAATCACACTGATTCACATCAGAGACCTTAGCCAGTGTCCAGCCTCACTGATAATGTGAAAGACCATGAGGCCTGGGCACAGCAGCAGAGCTCTGGGATGGCCAGCGCTCCCCAGGTATTTTCTTTCTGCTTCTGAACCCACTCTAGGAGGATTAACATAAGTTTCTACAGTACTTACATAAGAGAAAGTCATTTTAATCATGAAACATCTCAGTTTTCTGTCTGGATGGTTACATTTTCCAGGGAGCCATGCCCCATAGGTCCAGAGAGTCCAGGATGTTAACCATAAGCAATCTGAGACAAACAAGGTACATTCTGCTATAAGAAGTGTGTGAATAAGGAATCTCTTGCCAACAACTTGATCATGGACTTCCAGCTTTCAGAACTGTGAGAAAATAAATTTCACTCCCCTCCCTGCTCCCAAAAAGGGTTTTCTAGCTAACAGATACCATTTATTTGTTTCCAGGACGTCTGTAATTAGCCCTTGTATGAAGACATTTCTTTCCTAGGGGCATCCTCCCTTCCCCGGCCCCCTACCCGGCCCCCTACCCGCTCAGGGAGAAGAGATTGCAGACTTACTGTTTAACTATTCCTTTCCCGCCTTGTGTATGAAGTGGCCTGTCTTCGCAGTGGGGTTGTTAGGGATAAAATGTGATGTTGTATGTGAAAATGCTTTGTAAACTACAAAACACCATATAGTAGGTGTCACACAAAAGCGAAGTACAATTTATTTGAATATGGGCTTAGGCACGGGATGAAAGAAATACAAAAAGTTTAAGCTCATTTTAGATCATCAGATAAACACTTAAAAAATTTGTAAGCTTCCCATATTATAGCCGGTGAAAGTAAGTGAAGAGGTCAGAAGCCAGGATCCTAGGACAAGTGAGAAGGCAGAAGAGGGAGAGCTTCCCCAAGAGGTACAGCTTCAGGGTAAAGACAGATGCTTGAATACACACACTTACTTTTCCTCCCTCCTGAAACATCCCCGAACTGATAGTAGAAGAATTTTATTTTTAAAGACATAAACTGACCAGGACAAAGAAAGTGGTATAGGAAGCAATGGTAAAATTTTGCTGTAAAGCAGGTGTTTTCATGAGACTGCATACTTGAGAAAGATACATCCTTTACCGGTGTAACAATTTAGACATCTGAAAAGTTACCTGACACACATGTTTAACCCCTCTAAAGATTTGATAATGAGTATCCTTAGATACCTTTGTAGTTGAGGGACTATGTAAGGCTAAAAACAGAGGGATTGGTTAAAAAGTCTGAAGTAGGGAGATGCTCAGTTCCTTTATCCTGCTTGGAAGCCGGGTGGCTTCCCTCCATCACCTGAGCTGACCACTGTAGGTCAATTTTCTAGACAGGGTAAGACGAAGGCTCCTTAAACAGGGACATGCCAAACACAGAAGAAAACCTACACTAGGGGTTAGATACAGAATGGTGAGAACCTCTCAGCCATCTTCAGCTATTTGGTTCCCAGACATATATCCCCTAGGCGTAAGGTTTGACCTTCACCTCTGCGAACTCTGACTCATCTAAAAAGAAAGTAATACTGACAGCAAGGATCCTTGGAGGACATGGCTGAGCCAGATTACCAGTGAAGTCCAGATTTCCAGCCTTGGCTTGCTGAAAGCTTCCAGTCAGCTTTTTAGACAATCATGAAGCACTAAATTTCTGAGGAAATACTCTAACATGAAATGCAAATAGCAAATCCAACAAACCAAAAAATCAACTTGAAGAATGTAGAGTCAGTGAAGGCAGAGGAAAACCTAAGAGAAGTAATTAATATCCCGTTTATGGAAAGATAAGGTATAGCACCCATGAAACATGAATAAGAGACTATAAAAAGAACAAAAACAACAAAAGAACTTCTAGAAATTAAAACAGCAGACATAAAAAATGGGATAAAGATGAAGAAATCTTAGCAAAAGAAGAGAAAAAAGGATAAGACGGTTGAAAGATCAGTCTAGGACATAATTCATTCAAGTAAGTCCCAGAAAAGAAAACAAAATGTTTCCAAGAACTAAAGGACATTAGTTTCCAGATGAAAAGATTCAATAAGTACCAAGCACAGTATTAAAAATAGACCCACACGAAGGCACAAAATTATGAAACTTCATACAATAGGAAACAAGGATAATATAATTCAAACTTTCCAGAGCCAAAGCTAAAACAGGTCGTAGGTAAAGTCAGAAGCCAGAATAGCTTTGTATTTTCTAAGGCAATATTTGTAAGCTAGTAGATGTAAATAATGCTTTCAAATTTTTGAAGGAAAATTATATCCAAGTTAGAATGATGCACCCAAATTATCCAAGTCTCAAAAAATTTACCTCTCACATGCCCTAGGTTCCCTACCAAAGTCAGGGAGTAGACCCAAAAAGGAAGTCATGGACTATAGGAAATAAAGAGATTAAAAGGGAATGCCGAGGGTGCTGGTAAAGGAAGACCCCTGGTTGGTAAAGTGAGCAGCCAAACCACATGGAGCCAAAGAGAAGTTTCTAGGAGAGAAAGCCTAAGCATGTCCACTCCACAAGGGCAGCTTCTTTCCCATCCATCTATACTGCCCTGTTTTTTAAAAAATAAATGCATAAAATTTTAGAATTAGGAAGAATCTTAGAGAACACATAGTTTAAACATCTAGTTTTATTAAAAAAAAAAAAAAGAAAGAAAAAAAAATGAAGAGAAGTAACTTCTCCAAATCACTAACTGGTCACAGTAAGGCCAGCACTTTCTTGACTCTTAGGCCTATACTGCTTTCATCATTAACATGCTGCTCTCCATCCTTAAAGATCACTTATTTATGTATTGGTTCCTGAACTTCCTATTTTCCTTATCACTCGCATCCTGAATAGCAGACTGGTTTAGTCTCGAGGTGATTTTTCAGTCAGAAGACAGGGGACAAATCCACTCTGGGAGGAAGGGGAAGGGATTAACATATAATCTCCAGGATAAGTAAGTGGTACACCTTCCTTATTAGAATCAGCTTTCCTCTAACCTCACGTTGAGAGTGAGAGACTCCATCTAACTTTTTTTCCTTCTTAATAAGATATGTTTACACATAGTCAATTTAAGGCTCAGAACTTGTTTCCAAGTCTTATGATTCCAACCAAGAACAGTGCTCATTTCAGTGTATGATGCAGATTCCATAATAAAATTTTATAAGAGGAATGTATGTTTCTTTCATGGTCACCTAATGCAAGCCCAGTGACCCTACCCAAATAAACAATACATTGGTTCCTAAGTACTTGGGGAAAGAGAGTTGTAGAGGTTGTGTTCTTAGTTCCATTGATAACTTTCTGCGATTGCCCAGATCTCTAACGGGGTGAGGGTAAAACACTGACTTGTTGAGTGGAGGTTCTCATCCTGTATCTTTTAGGTAGTCCTGGGGGTTCTTTGAATCCTTCTTTTGGTCCTTAGAAGTAGAGAACTCTTGTGAAAACTATCTTGAATATGGTTAAGGTTTTTTTGTTTGTTTGTTCTAATGACAGAAAAAAAATAGTAAGCCAAGAGAAAGCAAAGAATTTTTAGTGTAGTTATCTAAATAATTGTTCTGCTATTATAAAATAGTCATGAAGGGGAAGAGAGAAATGTCACAAAAAAAAACAAGACTCAAAACTTATTTTTGTGTAAGTTCTGTTTTCTATTTTGCCCCTGTATGTATATTTTTGCTTCTATTATATTGCATATTTTCCAATGCATTTAATAGTATCTTTCATTTAAAGATTTAACAGTTTTAATATCTTTATTTTAAAACAAAAGTTTAAATACAAATACCAATGTTTTGTGAAAATTAGAGAATGTGAGAGCAGAACCTGACATAGCTAAGAATAAGTATTGTTATCTTATATTCTTAACAACCTGGAACACATGCCTCCTTAGAAAGTGCTATCACTGGGGCTGTGAACAGGGAAATATCGATCAATCAATGCATAGCAAGGATCATACGTTCTTACTGACTCACTCTGTGTGTGTGTGTGTATGTGTGTGTGTGTGTGCGTGCAGTTCTTTAGGAAGCTTTTTAAGGTATTATACTGTATTTTGAACTTTCTGGAGACATTTTGGAATTGTCCATGGTAGTAGCAAATATCCAAAGGCCCATTTATGTTACAGTATGCATAAATTTCAGTATGTACCAAGGACCCAAGAAATTCAAGAGAATGCGTTTTAAAATTAGTCAGCAATGTGCCTGGTATTAGGAGATAGTCTTCTCATATTTCAACCTTTAATATTTTACAATATTCTTTTTGTTCAGTCTGGAAAAGAAATGTTGTGTTTGGACAAATTAGGGATTTTTTTTTGTTCTAGTTTGTTTTTTTGGTTTGTTTAAGAGAATTTTATATTAAATGTATACTTAATTTTATTTAAAGATTGTTGACGTTGAAAACTGCATAGGAGAAAATACCAAAATCAGGTATTTTCATATTGCCATAATGTCTCCCTCCTTCCCTTTAGTAACTGCTGGAATCAAATCCAAATGAATGACTTACAATGGTGGTTTCAAGCTTTATAAAGATAGGGCTTAAATGAATTCACGCAATAATTGGAGTAAAGTCTATATATGGCTCAAAATGTACTTTTTTAAAGGCCGCTATAAAA